ATAATTTTTTTATGTAAAACGCAGTACAATACCGCGCTTTATATATTTAAATTATTGTTACGTCAATTAACCGCAGAACACTTATTGGTGGGCCCCAAAAAGAAGTAAAACGCAGTATAATACTGTGCTATATGTAAAACGCAATATTATATTGCGCTTTACTTTAACGGCTAAAATTCCGTTAAAGTAAAATGCAGTATAATACCGCGTTTTAGGTAGAAAAGTAACTTTTCTTAAAAAAATTTGTAGAAACGTGTTTTGAGTCCAAAAAGTTGCCATTTAGGTTTCGGACTCTGATTTCTTGTGGTAAAGTAGTTAAATAGAAATGGCAGAAACTTAGTGATCGTTTGGACATAAGAATTGTAAAATTCCGGAAAAAATTGAAATTTATTTTCAAGTAAAAATGATATTTGAAAATTAGAGTTGTGTTTCGATATGAATATAATTTTGGATTGTTTTTGAATTTTTGTAAGTGATCTGAGTGAAAAATTTGAAAAACATCGTTTTGGAGTTTTTCAAATTTTCGAAAAATTTCAAAATCCTTCTTCAAGTGAAAATTGAAAATTTTATCGCCAAACATTGATTTCAAAAAAAAATGAAAAAAAATTCATGGCTAAACTGGCTCTTAAAAGAGAAATTTTAAAACATCAAAGATTGTGGCGGAATGAATAGGATTCTTTTATCCTTAATTAGACATAAAATAAAAATAAAAATTACTAGTAAAGAATGATTTCCCTTTTAATTGATCGTATGCGACGCAAATCGGGAAATAACCTCTACGCTAACTCGGTAACTCCTACTTTACTCCATTACCTTAACTACGAGCCATGCTAACTCCTACTTTACCCCTTAATTTAAAAACGAGTGATATAACATTTTCTATTCAACATTAATGTAAGGACACACACCCGACGGCCGACACAACGACCAACCAAACCCAAGTATCTTTGCCAAGAAAAGAATAAATGTCCTGTTTTTCTAAAGATGAACTACGACGACTCTCGCTAACTGCATCAAATTCTTTTTAAAAAAATCTAATATGAATTGGATTTAAGGATCAAGAAGATCTCAAAACTGTGGATAGGATGTTTTCGTATTTTTACTTTAAGCTTAACTTTTACCTGAAAGTGAAGAAATGTCTCACTAGTTATAGCTAAACATTCGATTAAGCAATCGGTATTCAAGAAAATAAAGAAAAAAAATTGCACATGACGTAAATTTTTAGATCTATGGTAAAAGGGATTTCAATGCTAAAAGAAAAGGAAATGGAAAAGAACATTTGGCAGTCCAACTAAAAAAATAAAAAAATAAAATAAAAAACCAATTGTCACAATCATGTAATGATGTTAGATGGCTCATTGGAATTATGATAAATCAAATTTCTATGTTGCCCTTTATTAATCCGCATGAGATACCAATATACATATTGAATGGCTAAAATGAGATACATCCCAACAATGTGTGAAGTTGGGGTTTATGATGAGTTCCAATCTTCAAAAAAATAATATTGCATTCTTGAAAGGAGTATAAAATATTACTCCTGTTATGAAACAATAAAAGAAGAAGAAGAGTATTGCAGAGAAAAGTAGGGAGAAGAGAATTCTTATTGATATTTGGGATGATTTACATTGGAATAGAACCCTCTATTTATAGGGAGATGATGACTTAGCCACCAAGTAATGAACCCTAGAATCTCTCTAAATATAGACATTCACCATAAATAAAATTCTATTTATAAGACTTCCCCTTGAATGTCTATTCAACAGATAATGTGCATCGTTAAAACCTTAACTAAATAAAACCCAATGAGAAAAAAATTCTAAAGAAGGAAAAAGAGTACACATATATAACAATACGCCTTTTGGTTGCCTCGTTAAAAACCTTGCTAGAAAAACCCAGTGGGACAAAACCTTGTAACGGAAAAAGAGTGCAACGCGTATTAACACCCTCTGATGAGAGCATCAATTAACATCATTGAGCCTTCGCATTCCAATCTTGTGCACTAGCTTCTTGAAGGTTGACATTGGCAGAGTTTTGGTGAATAAATCAGCCATATTAACTCCAATGAATATATTGCACCTTGAAAATCCTCGCTATCACATTATCATGCTTATAGTTATAGCAAGATACAAATATGCACAAATTGCATTGAGAAAGTGGTACTTAATAATCAAGAATTGTATATGCTTTTTAAGCAACTTAAATCCTTCATGTATTGTCATATAAGTTAAGTCATATAAGCCATCTAAAGAGACTTTAGATGTATATCAAGTTCTCATGTCATGCTAGACATATAAGATATCGAAAACTGATTGCACATACCATTGACTTTATACTTTCAAGTGTTTGAACTACAGGTCCAAAACTATATGTTTATGGAATCAATTCTACTTGAATTGTGTCTCTTCCATTTGGCCAATACTTTTGTGTCTATATTCGATAGACTTAAGATCTTCATCTATACTTAGCGCTATGATAGATGTCGTTGACAAACATTTTATATCGGTTCCAATATTTTTTCATAAAGACATAACATAGAGATCTCTTCATTCATATATTCAGGTACCTGAATCTCTCATGAGATTTTATGAAGTGTTATGTCATGTGATCTTCTAGATCACTTGCCTCCTTATTATAATCACTTTGATCATTTGCTCATCTTCTTTATCAAGAAGTTCTATCTGAAATCGATTTGTCTATACGCTTTAAGCATACCATAGACTTTGTCATTCTAGGACTTACTATGAGCATTTGCAATGAGAATATAGTTACTTTCTTTGGGTCAGCAAATGCGTATGACATGCTTTGAAATATATTGCAAACGAATTATCTTTTTATGAACTTCAAGTTCATATTATGATATTCGAGGATCTATATATACAAATGATAATCTATTCCACGTAACTTTTTCTCAAGTGTTTATCATGTCTGCCCCTCATGTTAGAAAAACTAACTTGTTTCCTCAACTTTGAGAGCCCATCTTTGTGTGTCATGGTGCTAATCAAAATATACACCGCACATCAATAATAATAAGATAAAATTATTTGGTTCCTGACCCCGAACCACTTGTGAGGGGAGAATGTAATATACAAACTGATATAGGTAACTTTGTTCCCATAAGCAATAGTTTAGTTATTAAGTGGAGACACTCAATAAATTATTTTGCTAAACCAACTGTGATGTAAACCAACTTATCAAGATGAACTATCTTGAATAAAAAAAATCTGGAATATGCTCTAAATTAAATTACTGAGCAAGTTACCTCGCTAACACCGGCCAGGTTGCGGGTTAATAATAATCGCACATGTAACCATCTCATAGATGCATCTTATGTGGTATACATGGCAGGTGAATGTGCCCATATTCACCTTTGATATTTTCAGCATTTATGAGATTCAATCTCAATTTTAGTTGGTCTATTAATTAATAAGAACAAGCAATGTAAGAGAATTCATACATAAAGTTCCGATTTACACCATGACATGTGCAATTATCAATAAACTCCAAGTTTATTATGATATGAGTTTTTATATCAATAAACATCCACTTTATTGTGGTATTCGTTTATTTGTGTAGTACAAACTGGAGAATAAAGTGGGTAACTTTTCACATACATATTACCCCGCTACAAGTTGTAGTAATAGAAGATATTAAATCTTTCCTTTATTTATAGTCTCAATATAATCAACCGCTTTCGCGTGTACTTTGGAAACTGAATAAGTTTTTCTGAGACTTACTACAACACAATAAATTGACATGATAATCAATTGTATTCCTCCAAAATAGTAATAATTGGCTCTTCCAGAGCTCTCAATTAATTTTGTACTACCAAAGATTCATCAACATCCATGTGATGAATATCTCTTTTAAAGAAAAAGTTATATCATTGTGGTCATGGTCAAATTATATGCAAGATCTGTTTCTTGCATTACCATTGTCTTTTAATAATCACACTGCCATAATATTTTGGCGTACAATAAGTACGTGACCAGTGATCATTCATGCCATAATAATGACATTATTTTCTTATTTCATCTCAAACCTCCATCTAGAGGTGAGTGTGGTATATTCACTACCACTAGCACGTTCATATTCTTCCAAGAATGAATATGTATTCATAAATTAGATGTTGTCACATTCACATCATGAATGGACCATAATCATCTATATGTGTTTTATAAAATCTCATGTCAAATCGACAACAAACATTACTTTCACAGAGTGAAGGATTATTTTGAGAATCCTTATTATTCTCATTACTCAATGATGACGATTATAATTTCGTCTATTGCCACGTCCACATCCATTGATACATTCATAGTAGTAATTTTGTCTTCTTCCAGACTTATCACATACTGCTATCACATTCTCTAAAGGGAATGAGAATGGAGCAAATTCAATGGGACGAGTTTTTAATTCTTTGCCCACAATCATACATGAATTTGATCATGGCAAGACATAGAAATTTTACCACTTTGGGTGGTTATAATATCTTTCAAACTCCATTAGAGTTGCAATCAAAATTTATCGTCTTTGATTGTGTTTAAAATCAAATTATAAAATTTTAAGAATTTGAAAGACAAAAGTAAAATACTTACCTTAAATCCAGAATTTAATCGTGAAGGAAGTTCATAGAACAATTGACAATCATTATGCTCAATCCCAAAGCTTCTACTCAATTGGTTAGAGTCTCGTGCTGATAACGTGTTATGAAACAATAAAAGAAGAAAAAGAGTATTGCAGAGAAAAGTAGGGAGAAGAATTCTTATTGATATTTGGGATGATTTAATAGAACCCTCTATTTATAGGGAGAGGGTGACTTAGCCACCAAGTAATGAACCCTAGAATCTCTCTCTAAATATAGACATTCACCATAAATAAAATTCTATTTATAACAACTCCTTATTTGTTCAATAGATTATCATTTTTTGTAGAATAATCTGATCATTTTGACTGTCGCATAATGCTTTAAGTCGGTAAAGGGAGTTATAGCAAGAAAATTTTGATCCAAATGGAATTTAACCAAAAATTATCTCCTAAAATACATGCAAAACCATTTCTCGACCTCTTAAAAGTTGTCTACATCCTCATTGTTCAACAGAAGTTATAGATGACACTAGTGCACATAACAGAACACATCTATAAGAGCTTATACATTTGTTGTTAGACGATACAAAGAACCTTAAACAGGATGCGAAAGGCTCCAAAATTTTGAACTCTTAATCGAAAGTAGGCAGATGAACATAGAGATCACCCGACCATTTGCACAGCTTTTAGCTATAGCTTACTCCATCACCTTTTACAACTTCACCAATGCGGTATGCTATGCCCGTTTTCTGCACTTCCTCAAGTATCCGGTCAGCTGCTTCTGGACTAACTACGAGGACCATCCCAATTCCCATATTGAAAGTCCGCATCATCTCAGCATCTTCTATTCTTCCCGCCTTCATTTCAACCACCATATTGCAACATTAAAGGCAGAAAAGAAAAAAAATTGCAGCTCAACGATATGGTATCTAATAGAAGTGTAACTAATCAGTATCCCCACCCGCAAGTAATTAGTGGAAGAACATTCAAGCAAGTGTCGAAGATTCTCACCTTCTGAATCCATTTAAATACAGGAGGAACTGCCCAAGAGTCCTCGTAAATAATGGCTCCAAGGCCTTTAGGAAATACTCGAGGGATATTATCAGTGAATCCGCCTCCAGTAATGTGGGCTATTCCTTTAACCCCTCCTTTGCTAATAATATCAAGGACCTTCATTTTCCAAATCCGTAAAACACATTACTGCATATCCAATATAAAAAATGAAATTAACAATAAAGCAGAAGAGAAGGAAACCAAGAAGATACCTGTTTAACATATATAACAGTTGGGGCTATCAGAGCTTCGCCTAGTGTAATAGTTTCACCGGGAAGCTGGTCTTTCAAAGAAAGACCACTTTGCTTCAGAACCCTACACAGATAAGCATATCATTATCATTCAGAGAAATGAAATAAAAGTAAATAAAGTCACAAAAAAAAAATCAAAATATTCGAAAATAATTTTACAAGGCTAGATACATAATTTCTCTGAAGATAGACAAACCTCCTAACAAGAGAAAACCCATTTGAATGAACTCCACTAGATGGTAAGCCAATAAGAACATCTCCAACCTTGATGCTTTTCCCATCAATAACTGAATCCTTTTTCACAATGCCCACAGCAAATCCACTGAGATCATACTCGCCTTCGGCATAGAAATCGGGCATCTCTGCAGTCTGAAACACGCATCAAATCAGTTGAGTGCAACAACAGAAGATTGTTTCTAATTCCAAAAACATGTTTTACAAAGTCTAACATACAATGAATTGCTCAGCCAATTCAACAGCAAAAAAACACATCTTACGGCACACAGTTCTGTGTCATGAAACAAAACCAATTTTTGGGACCCTTCATGAGCGTGAGAGAAAGCTATATATGCAGAAAACATAGCACAAGACAAGTTTTACAAGTGATATCCATAATGTCTCAATGACTCTATGCACATATCACCCAAAAAAAAGTAGCACAAATCATTTACTGTATACTGAAATTCCTTTGATTTGAAAAGAAGAAAAAAAAGCTCAGTATTTGTCATTCATATCGCGCTTCTGCTGCAGGATACAAGTGATGCAACAATTTTATTACTAGGAGTGACTTTTAGTGAAAAAATGAAGAGACAGGTACCTCTCCTCCTAGAAGAGCACAGTCAGATTGCTGGCAACCATCCACAATACCTTTTATGACCTGCATGCATGGCAAGAAGCCAACTCTGTTTTACTGGAAAACGAGACAACATGCCAGTGTGAATAATGCTCTAGAAATGTCATGAACTGAGAGATATTTGTGTCTAGACATACCTTCTCTGCAAGGTCAACATCAAGACGGCTAGTGGCGAAATAATCAAGGAAAAATAAAGGTTTTGCTCCAGAAGTGACGATGTCATTAACACTCATTGCAACCTGGGAAGAAAGGCACCATGAGTTCTTAAATATCTACCAAATACATAAAAAGATGAATCAAACTTACCAGGTCAATCCCAATGGTATCATGAATTCCCGTTTCATATGCCAACTTAAGCTTTGTCCCCACACCATCAGTACCAGCCACGAGGTATGAATCCCCTGTTCAGTACAAGAGAAAAACCAAAAGAAGAATGTACAAAATTTAAGATCTGCAGCAACATAAAAAAGACAGAACAAAAATGAATAAAGAAATATATACTTTGACTATTGGCTACACAAGCATGAAAAAGATAGAAAGATATAGATAAAGGGGAACTTTTGAGCAGGAAAAAGCTAAGGATTAGTGGTAGTAAAGTTTCTAGAACTCCACGACCTACAAGTCTTAACAACTATACTGTATTAATTCAGTTGGACAAACTCTGTTTGTGCTCAGGTTGCACCGTGACTCCGTTATTTATGATACTTGATATCAGCAAAAACAGGTTTGGAATTGATATAACCTACAGTTCGGGCTGCTGGCTATATGATGTTAGATTTCAGATTTCCAAACCAATGTTAAATAAACTCTGAGAAGGAACAGGTTATGTCATTTTATGCTTAAGGGTTCAAATTAGAAGAGAAATATGGGTGAAACGAAAAGGACTTGTCCACTTTGCTGGTAGTAAGCAAAAATAAAAGTAACACTGTGCTCCTTTGACGGGTACTACCACAACAGTGAGTAGTTGCAGACACCAAGAAATTGACATCGGATCCTCGCTGAAGGAAGGTTGCATACTGAAACAGTGAGTGCTCAAGGATACCTGACCTTACAAAGGAGAAAGTAGCCTAAATTCAGGAACGACTAGTTTCGCAAGCCAAATTTGCCATCATTATAATTGTTACACTGCAGGCCAAGTTACAACCAGCTGAAATTATGTCTTCTTGTTAAAATTACACCACCTTTCTGACCTACTGTAAAGAACCCATATGCAGAAATATTTGCCACCAAGTCCACCAGTAAATCCCCAATGTAAATGCAAAATAAACCTATGGAAAGAATTTGGTCCCCGGTAACAGAGGCAACTATGCCATTATATGATAGTAAATGAACATACATAACTTTTGGATAAAGTTAACTTTATTAAATTTACTGATCCTCAACCTCTTGGGTTTTTCATTTAAAACTTCTGTTTACATTAGCTGATGAATATGCAATATGCTGCTAGGACAAAAAAGAGACTGTCAAGTGTCACAGGGCCAAATCCCAGCTACAACACCTAGCGTGTACCCATTTACTCCAGCCTCGATGTGGACGATTACTCCGCACTTGTGCTTGTGGCCATAGCAAGCTTCAGGGTGAATTAGTCAAGATGCATCATGCATGGAGCCTTGCCGGACACTACCGTTATCACAATATATTTCAAAAAAACTGCAACACTGGTATCCATCCTAAGTAATAAAATTTACTTTTCTCACTGAAAAGAAGAATACAAGCTTGATCTAAGACCTCTAACCCAATTTCCAGCATAGTCTACAAAACCAAATCCGAGCAAACTTAAGAACATGTTTTCTGAAGTATTTCCCTTTAGCCATGGCACCAGCTTATTGGTCGAACGGTCATTTGATTTTTGTAACAAGCTAACCTTGATTATGTCTTCAACTAAACAAATAAGTCAATGTTTTCAATTGAAGATGCCATGTAGAAGGATTAACCAACATAAAGAAGGCTAATGGCAAACATTACCTAATGGAAAGAGACCTCCGAATCCCCCAATTCCAGGTGCCATTTTGGCTATTCTCCTCACAAGCTCCGACCCTGCATCAATGTCCACACCAGCATCCTTATATGTAAGACTGCTGGGCTCATCTGCAGCAGTATCAACTGGACTGGCACTAGCAGTAACCGAGAACGTAATGCTTCTCTCCCTGTTACTTTTAGCATGAAGATCTTTGCATAAAGGCAGCACCTTCTTTGAGAAGCCTTTGAGCTTGGGTACACATGATCTTGGTTCAAAGATAGATGATTTTGCACGACAAATGGGGGACGCAGCAATGCATTGTGATATCTCTAAATTTGCTCCATAAGACGTATTCATGGCAACCCAAGGTAAAAGCTGCTTGAAACTAAATAACCTAAGAAAACGAACATAGTTAAAGGCGTATCCAGAATTTAAATTTGATTCCTTTAGGTTCTTACCATTGATCCCGTTACACTTTTGAAATTACTGGTTGGAAATTAGTATTTTTTTAAGCTTTTAGTGAATTTTTTTCACACACACACAGTATCAAAAATACCTGAACCAGTTGACATTCAAAAGCTTAACATGTTAGAAGCAGCTAAACATGACCAAATTTTTTGTAGAATAACAATAAGCTCTTCAAACAAATAGGCTCACAAATTAACAAATGGAATTGTTCTTGCTCCAAATAACAGACACAACACAGGACTGAAAAAGGTGATAACGAATACCACATTAATCAATCTCGAACCTCAACATAACAACTAGTACTGGTAAAAACAGAAAAAAAATTAATCAGATAATGGGTGCGGAGCAGAAATAATAGCGATTGAAAGTAATGCATACAGATTATAGAGAACGAGAACAAAAAAAAAAGAAAAAAGAAGGGAGAAGAAGCAGCAGCAAAAGGAAAGGGAAGATAAAGAAAAAGAACAGAAAGGAAATCAACACCTGCTAACGAAGATAGGAAGAGTTAGAGACAGAATTGGCCGGGAACTAGACAGTATTAGTAGTTCAGGAGAATTCGAGTACAGCGGGTTGGAACTTGCCCTAAATTCTTTCACTTCTTTTTCATTATTGCGATTGGACCCTTATATTAGTTAACTAGTGAATTTTAAGTTTTACTTATTTTTATTGCTGTTATTATTATTATTATCATAAGAGTGTAACTTTATATCATTGAGGTTTTATTGTCTTCCAACTATAGTTAATCCTTTTTTTTAGTAACATATATAGGTGTGAAATTATACCTTTTTCTCGTTTATAAATTTGCAAAAGTCATCAATGGAATCAATTAGGCATGTTCCATGTTATCCATAAAACGATACAGTTAAATTTATACGTGGTTTATAGACAAGTGAATTAATTGATCCTGAAATAATAGATGAATTAGACGAAAATGTAATACTTAGCCTTGAGATAAAGATAAAATAGCAGGAATAGCAATTCAGGGAGCAAGGCTTTCGGGTACAATAGCAATGATATCAATAAACAAGAAGATAAAATTATATTGAGCTTTGAATAGAGTCTAGCGTATGTTTTCCAGAAAAGTCGTTCTGCTTACAATGATAATAGAACTCAGTATTTATAGTTACACCTAAGGAACAAGGTCCTAGGACCAAGCCCCTCTTTAATCTCAATTATGAGGGCCGTTGAAGAATGTGTAACGGCAGACAATGAATGTCATATTCCTTGTAACGGGCCGCATACTTAATGCTATAGAATATTCCTTATTAAATGCTACCGGGTAGCAGACATTTATTTCGCCTTTATGTGTATAATTTTCCCTGGTAACATATGTGGTTGTTGCCTTAGGATTCAACTATCTTCTGTCTTTGGCTCCACGTGTCACTTCTTTATACGATCATTTAATATAAACATATTTTACCCTATACAGATAGTCCCCCTGCTTTCGGGTGGCATAACTTTGTGATACCGGGAAATTGGTAGAAACATCTTCTTTGGCATAAAATTCACTGACCCCCTCTGAAAAGTTTTCTAACGGTTGATTAGACGCACGTCTCTCCGTATTTAATGTCACGTACACGCGTCATTCCATAATTTAATAGAGTATCACTTTTGTCGGTTATCGAGGTAATTATGGCCCCGATTTTAGTCACTTATTCTGTCGCTTATACGCATCAAACTTCTTCATTTACACTTCATAATTCTTCATACTTCCTCAAACTCTCTTCATTCAACTCGTACTTTGTCTTCAACTTTTCTTTAACCTTCTTCCTAAGAGAAACGTTTTTCCTTCTTTTCTAATACAGAATGGCTTCTTCTTCTAAAAACCCTAGTTCCTCAAAGAACAAAGGCAAGGCCGATGAGGCTGCTCCTTCTACGATGAGCACAATCATCCCCAGAAGTCTTGTCACAACTAAAGACTTCAAAGAGAAATTTTCTTCTACTAACCCTCATACATGGGCCGTTAGCAAATACCCTTTTTCCATCCGTCTTTCCAGTATTCCTTCTGTGAAGGAAGATTGTCGTTGCTAGGATTTAGACATTATCGCTCCTGATCTGGCGGAGCGGGTAACCTTACCCAAGAAGGGTTTACATACTTTTATATGTATATCTTCACTTTGGGAGCGTTTTCTTTGAATGGAGAGCTTGACTTTGTCATCGTGGAGTTCTGCCTCCGCTACCAGGTGTGCTTGGCACAATTAAGCCCTTTCGTGTGGAAGACAATTGCTTGTCTTCGGCGCTTGTTCTAGGAGACGGGGGAAGAGCTATCCCTAGATCACGTGATGAACCTCTATTCCCCCAAGATCTTCTGCGGGGGAATGGTAAATTTCAACAAACATGGCCACCATGCTCTGTTATCTAGCATGGATGATGACAACGACCGTGGGTGGATGGAATGGTTCATCGTAGTTGCCATCAATAATATCATTCCGACAATGGCTTTATCCTTTTCGGAATCATGGAACCGCACTCGTAAGTTCCTTGTTTAACTTTTCTTTTATTAAAGATCATCTCATATTATTATTGACTCTTCTTCTTTCGCCTGTTTCAGCAACTCGATGGATACCACCTAGGGTTGAAGGCTTGGACCAATGGGTCCGAAAAATCTTGGACGTCACCGAGCCCCAGACTCGCACGTAAAAAAGAACTGGCACTTAAATACGGGTGGAAGACCAAAAATCATGGTAAATTGGACTCATCTCGTCTTTGCTTTTTCGTTTGAGGAAGTTGATTAATCCTTTCTCCTTTTGCTGAATTCAAGTCTACCCTAAGGCTTAGTTGTCGTCCCCGAGGAGGATGTTTTGGCTAATCCTGCTGATGCGGTGAGGCTGCTTCAGGAGGCATTTACTCGAACATGCTTCTCCAAGCCTGCTTGGGGTGCAAGTGTTTCTTTTCGGATTCCCTGGCCGAAGAGAAAGCAAGTAAAAAAGAAATGTTCCTCCGCGGTTGGGGGAAAAAATAAAAGGGCAAGGAGTGTCGTGCCAAAATCGTCTTCAGATGTTGTGGTGTCGAGCGTCTTGCCCGAGTCAGCCATAGATATTGTGGTTATAGATGATGACGGAGAAGCTAGTGATGATGATACTTCTCTACATGACGATGACCTTCATCAACTTAACAGAATGCTCAATCTGTAGAGTTAGTTACACCAACTAAAGACGAGGATGAGGCGCTCTAGGGAGTTTGAGATGGTAGAAAATGCCAACTCCCGTTGCCCGATCCCAGTCGATGCGCCCAGTACTGTGAGGATGAGTACCGAGCCCCTGCCATCTTTGATTGACGAGCAACCAATAACCAGCACTACATTTGGCACAACTACTTCTCACCCTTCAATACTATCAGCTTCATCTCCTTCTTCACCAATTCATCCATCAGCAACTGCTACATCATCTCCACTGGCCGCATCTGTCCAAAAAGAGGGTGTTCCCCTCCCCCACTCCCGAGTTCCTAGGAATTTGGGGCAAAAATTATGCCACCCCCTCAGAAGACCAGCAAAAAAGGAGGAGCGTTACTCTCTCGGTCTTCATCGGATGTAATCTGCTGTCTCGGCTGTGGAACTTGCAAAAAGATTGGGAAAAGATACAAGCTCTCTCGGGAGAATGCTTGTTAAACAATGTTATGCATAATGCCGCAGTGGTATATTCTTCATTTCCTTTGTTATCTCTTTTCTCTTTGATATAGTAGTATTTTGATTTTGTCTTTCTTGTTTTGCAGGCCAATTTCCTTACTTCCGAGGGCCTCCAAAAGTTGATTCGAGATAAGAAGGAACTTACCTTCAAGCGGGATCAACTTTTAGCCGAGCGGGACCAAACTATCGCTCGCCTCTCAGAACTGTAAGCCAAAGCTACTGAGGTCATTGTGTTGGAGGCTCATTTGCAGCAAAACGATCAAGAAGTAAAGACCCTTAGCCAAGAGATCTGCCCGCTGAGGGTTCAATTTGAAGGGGCTAGGGCTAAATGAGCTGAAGTCCATAGTGTCGTTCTTGCTGCATCCGATCGCGAAGTTGCCTCCGCTGAAAGGTTAAATAATTTGGAGGTGGCCTTGAACTCCAAAACTAAAGAGCTTGCTGCTATCGAGGTGAAGTATACCCAATTGGAGGAGAAATATAAGAGGACCATTGAGCATAATAGACTTTTCAGCCCCACGGTCCGTGATCTTGATGTCAACCTCCGGGCTGTTAAAGTAGCACGGGAAAATCTTTCTACCGAGGTTGACCAACTTAAAGAAGAACTTTAGCATCGAGCTACTTCCCTCATTGTTGAGAAAACACATTCTATGTATAGCATGAGGAGAGAAACCTTGGAAGATGCCAAAGTGGGTGTCATTGATTTTGACGCCGAAATTGCTAAGGCACATGAGCTGGAGTTAGCTGCAAAAAGAGGTCTTCCAACCAGGCCCGATGCTACCGATTCTTCTGGTTCTGATTTTGAGTCCTTGGGAACTAAAGAGGAACTAGAAGGTGATGATACTGATGGCGAAAATGATGAAGGCCAAGATATCGAACCGGCGGTGGATCTACCCCCTTCTCCTAGGGGCGCGTGTTATGACCCGCAATATTACGTCCGACAATATTATATTACGATGATGTTACGTCCTACAGTATTATATTACGATGATGTTACGCCTTGCAGTATTATATTACAATGATGTTACGCCTTGTAGTATTATATTACGATGATGTTATGCTTCACAGTATTAAATTACTACGATGTTATACCCTGTAGTATTGTACGGTGAATTTGTCGTAAGGTAATTGACATCAGTCTAAGGAAAGATTATTTGGAGATTATAAGGATTATGCTATTTCACAGGTGATGAGTAAATTCGTGAAGATGAGAGGGGGAGCAAGTAAAAGAAAATGAATTTTCATCCAAGTTTGTCATTTTGGGATAAAATACGACCCGAGTTATAATACCTGGTATTTATGGACTAATGCTATACAAGGTACCACATGACCATGATAGTGAGGTATATAAGGTATGTTAAAGTGAGTAGTATTTTAAGTAATTTGAGATAATTCGTAATTATGTAGATAATTGGGTTACTTAATGATTTTGGTGGAACTATTAGCTAAGAAATTAAAATTCTTGGGATAAAGAGTAAGGACACCTAACGTGGAAGCCCTTGCCTTAGGGAAATGGTGACTACTAAGTTCACATAAAAGGTGTCAATAGTTGGGAAAGTCTTTGGCCAATTAACCCCTATCAAGTGGGGCCCATACCACTATAATAAGGAGCCTTTCAAATTCCTTCATTCATTGAGAAAAGAAATAGTATGGATTTTACATGACATACATGAAATCTACATGAATATTTCTTTAGTTGGATATTTCATTAAGTTGGACATTTCGTTAAGTTGGACATGAAATCGTATGGATCTGCTTTCAACATTAGTTGGATTTCTACATGAATATTTCATTAAGTTTCAAATGGAGAAATGCTTACACCTAATCTACATGGCAACGTGAGTTACTGTAATTTCTTCAACATTTCATATGAAGGCTATTTAATACAATAGCAACAGGATTTTGTGATTCTAAGGGAATACAACGAAATCTTTCTCAAGAATATCATACAGATTCTTCCCTACTTCGATCCGCCATTACATGT